TCAGTTGATATATCCTCAGTCCAAGACTTGCACCTACCCGATAGTCTCTTCATGGCAAGTACTGCCATCGGTGGCGTTGATGCGCTCACAAACGGAGCCCAGTACCGCCTCCATGGCACTGGCATTGCCGTAGCTCATGACGGGATCCATAAGCAAGGCGGATATCATCAGATCCCGTCCAAAGTAGGTCAGAAAACGCCATGCACCAGCAAGAAGTTTCTCCGAGTAGGAGAGAAACGAGAGTGCAGTGGTCTGAACGGGCATTTTAGACACAAGGTCTGCAGAGGCATTGTTTATCACCTTGGCCGGAGGCAGCTGGGTCAACTGCGGATAGTCAATCTCTGCCGAAAAGACGTAATCACCCGCCTCAAATCTAACCGTCTTGCCGGAGACGGTGGCCTTGGATGTGCTGTTGACAGGAGTAAACTTGATCGCGCTCGTGGTGACATTGTCCAGCCACAGACGCTGGAGCATCACGCTTCCGTCAGGAGAGCTGATAAACTGGGTAGCATCCTGGATCTTAGGCTGCAGGAGGCTTGGTCCTTCGACAAAATCCCGGATCGTGCGAATGCTGCCCAGAATGGGAACGGTCAAGACCGCCGACGAATTGAAGCGGAGCGTGCCTTGCACTCCGACCCCCGGGTTTGGCTCTTTAGCTGTGTAATTGAGGGACAGTGGGCTTCCCGCGGTAGAGTTGACGACCGAAATACCAAGAGTACCGTTGACTCCATTCTCAGGAGCAAAGTAGGTGCAGATGCCGCTGTTGCCCGCCGGCCAAGCTACGATCAGTCGAGGCCCGATCAAGCTCAGATTGCTGTCAGGTAGTGGACTAGTGACAACAACTTGAGCGGCAACATTGCAGTCGGAATAAAAGTAATTGTCATATGGACCACTGCTCAGTGCAAGTGCGGCGGGCGATTCACCGCATGATTTAGGTGTCTTCACTTATCAGCAGGGTAGGGTGAGCAGCTATACATCGTACTTACAGCTAAAGTCCGCCCACTCAGAGGATTGGCCAAGACGCTGAGAGCTTGAAGAGCAGAAAGTCCTGTGACCAATGATCGCTTCATGGTGGCGAAATCACTGATGGAGAAATGCGAGTATGCCGTGCATCACCAGGAAAAGGGCTCCTTATATCTTTCCGTCCTCACTAGTTTGTCCGCACTTGATTTCATCAAGATCGTCAAAGAGGCCAAACATGGCAGGAGCAAAAGAGCTATGCCGTCAGTCCAGGTGGGTCTAGTACAATAAGATTGAAGCCGTCCAGCCACGGCGTGCTTGCTCTTAACTCTATACGGTCGCCACGGCGAGGAATCGGGGAAACGGGGATACGAAAGCAGTGGATTGTGGGGTATTTGGGGTATTTACCGTCTGTCAAATCCGATAATTGTCCTTGAAATCAGATTTGGCCTCAGGCATCCCTATGTTCTTCATAGTTGAGAGACTTATGTCTCCACTGATGATATTATTATCAATTGTCAGTACTCAAACATGATCTAGTCTATTGTGAAAGCATCTTCTTGACCCTCTTCACCAAACTCTGTTCAAACTGCTCCACCCCGTTGGGCTGTTCAATGAGCTTGCCGCCCTTCATCACATAGACTGACCTTCTTCGACTCTGCTCTTCGACTTCTTCGTCTACCCCTTCAAATTCGTCATCCAAATTATGCTCGCCGTCTCGTTTCCCCTCAATGACGGACCGGACCAAGAAACGATCGTGGGATACCAGGAGGATTGCACCATTGAACGAAGACAGCGCAGTCGCAAGAGCCGTGACGGTATGGAAATCCAGATGCGTCGTGATTTCATCAAGAACCAGCAAATGAGGGGAGTTCCAGATTACCTTGGCAATTGCCAGACGGACCTGGAAGTATGTCAACAGCTGTATATCGCTATCAGACTTGCAAACTTACCCGTTGACCTCCGGATAAGCGTGAAATGGGTACATCTGATACTATTTTACCCTGAAGACCCAGTGACGACAGCAAGCCTCGGATCTCGCCCTCGCTAAGTGTGCTGTTGATCTCCTTGGTCATGAAACCTAATGCGGTCAGAGTAGGATCGGCCCGACCTTGTTCATGGAGCTCCTCGATCGAATGCTGCGCGTAGTATCCCAGTTTCAGCCTGGAGTGGGTGGAGATTTTGCCCTGCGTCGGCTGCAGATTGCCCGTTAACAGGCGGATGAGTGTAGATTTTCCAGAACCATTGAGTCCCATGATCCCAACCCGATCGCCCATGTGCATCACCAGCTCGATTCCGTTCAGTATGGCCGGTGCATCCCGCGTGTACCGGAAACATACCCCCTCCGCCGAGAGCAACGGACCCGGGAAGCGCAGGTCACTGGCATCGGGCAGGAGAATCGAGGCCGCTTTTTCGTCCGTTGGTACTTCAATCTCAGCTCGCGCGGTGAGATGGTGGCCCACCAGGTCCCTGTTCAGTTTAAAGCGGCCGCCGTTGGCGCTGACCTGAATGCCCATGCGGTCGTCGACTTTCTTCTGCCGGGACTTGGCCATACGCAGCTTATTGTCGTCGTTGGTCTTCTTCCCCACCTTGATGTTTTCTCGGATCGTCGCTTCCATGTGCGCGATCTGGCGCTCTTGTGCCTCCTTCATGCGGCCCCAGTAGAGTTTCTGCGCTTCAAAGTCTTTCTCATAGGCGGACAGGTTGCTTCTGAAGTAGGTGAGTTTCTGGTCGCGCAGGATGACGATCTCCTCGCAGACCGCATTGACAAAGTCTCGGTCGTGAGATACCAGCACGATGGTCGTCTGCGACGAGTCTCGTAGCCGCTGTAGGTAATTCTCCAGCCAGATGACCCCAAGGAGATCCAGGAAGTTGGTCGGTTCGTCTAGAATCATGATGTCCGGGTTCTGTATGAGAACGCTGGCCAACAGACAACGCATGCGCCAGCCACCTGATAAAGTCAAGAAGGGTTTGCTGAGCATGGCTCCGTCGAACCCCAGTCCTATTAGGATCTGCCGAGCTTGCTTCTCGATATCAACCAGTTTCATCTGCCATGCTTCAGTATTCGTCATCATCTGAACCTAGTTTGCGGCACTCACGACTTCAAACTGACTCTGTAACTCCTGCAAAGTATCCATTGCCGCCTGTGTCTCGGCCTTGAGCGACTCCGCATCAATAGGCTGATCAGGCTGCTCGACTCTATCACCAATTAGTGGACTGCGAAGCCTCCAGAGGACAACTCACAGCTCCTTCGAAGCCTCGTATCTAGCCTCAACCGCCTTCAAGTCCTTCCGAGCCTGTAACCCCCTCGCACCACTCTTAAGGCTGGCATTCTTCTGCGCAAGGAACAGCTGCTTCTCAATCTCATCGTGGCGGACTCTTCGGATCGCCCGCACAGGCGCTACCGGATCATCAGTCTCGAAGCTCTTCGACAGGACTTCACACCGTTAGACCTTTTCTTCAAAAGAGGGCTACTGCCTTACCATCCATCTTCCGCACAACCTCGTTCCGGAAACGATCGCTACTCATGACATATTCCAACACGGGCAGATTTCGCCTGTCGCGATCCTCCTCCTCGCACTGGAACGTCGGCACCTCGTCCTCTGTCTCAGTCTGCTGCAGAATTGCAATGCGCGTCGGATGCGGAATCCCAGGAACCAGTTTGTCGGCCATAGCGCGGAGCAGCGCTTATCACCATCATTAGCATGCTAGGTACTCAACACTAGGCGGACTCTTAATCAACATACTCGACTTCCCTGTCCCATTTCGCCCAATCAGACCATAATGCACCCCTGCCTTGAGCCGCAAGTGAGCGTCGAGAATGAGCTCGCGCGCCTCGGCCCTGGATTTCGATTTTGATTTCGACTTCTTTGCTTTGGAATCACCGTCATCCGCCGAGTCGGCCTGTGAGGATGTGACTGCGACGGTGAGACCTTCTACGTCGATCTGCGATTGTATTAGCGCATTTCCTGTCATAATATGGGTGTATGTATACGTACCTCCTGTGCGGGCTGATCGTGGAGTAGATGGAATCGGGTCTGTTTGCAGGTTGCTATGATGGAGGGTGTCATTGTCATGGTGTAGGTACTAGATGTAGTCGCGATGGAAGCTATTCTATTGTATACAGTATATGCAAAGAATCTTCAGTGATCGATGCCTCGATTGTATATCATTAAACAGGCCCTCTCTTGTCAACGCCAACGCCGATGCCAATGCACGATATTAGTATTGAATGACCACGACACACCGAATAACCACGACACACCCTAATGTCAACATGACCTCGGCCACAAGCTCATCCAATACGACTTGTCGGAAAAGATTTACATGATGGATCCCCACGTTGCACTACACTGAGTCACGATGAGCGTGCAGGCTGGTGAGAAGTGCAGAGCGGGGTCCGAAAAGGGTATAGCGGCGATCAGGAATCTGATCTTATTGATGAGTGTGGTGAACCCTGTGGATTAACTTGATATATAGTGGATGGATCAGTTAATGTGAGTCATTTTGATGAGTGGATAGAGAAATGAATGTGCTGGGTTTTATTAGTATGAGATAAGGTCAGAATATACTGCGGAGTTCGGAAGCCTCAGGCTGAGATATCAGGAAGGTAGTTCGATATTATAGATTAGCTAGCATTTAGAGGTCTCAAGAGAGATGGTACCTGGAATGATCATCAAAACATTGCTAGTATGTACTCTAGATAGATGCGTGCATACTATCATTTGATATTATGATTTTCGCCACTTGAAGCTTTAATGCCTCACCACAGGTGACGCCATGACAACCATCCCCATTTGATACTCCGCACAAAACCATTCTTTACTACAATATAATGAACGATATAACAGTCAGACCACCATGACAAGTGCTCAAAACAGCGATATTGAAACTATCATCTGACCTGTGTCGTCAACGCAATCATGACCTCATCCCAACCACACTTCTGAACCCGTAGCATATAAGGGCCATGAGTTCCAAACCAACCATTTCGAAAAACAAATCAGCCGTCAACTGAACATCAAATCAACATCGTCGCAATGACTTCCAACTACAATCTCAGAAGAGGTGCCAACCCAGCCCAAGACCAGGCGGGAGACACGGCCGGCGAGCCCGACATGCAGTCTCAGTCGCAGACCCAACCCGGGTTCCAGTCGCAGGCCCAACCCGGGGTCCAGTCGCAAACAAACCAGCAGAAGAGCCAGGAGAGTTCCTTCCAGACCTCGGAATCCACTAAGCAGGTACGTGTTTAGTTCCCTGAGCCCCAGTTGTAGCAAGCTCTAGTTACTGATTCACTGGCCCCCAACCAGACCTCCAGTAACGATGTCCAATGGGGCAATCAGCCTGGAAACTTCAGCGCCTCGGAGACGAATCCAAAGCCACCTGGATCGTATCATTTGACTAGTGACCAGCTGTCTCATCCTCAGGAGTAATGATTCTCTATGTCTGATGGGGTTCGACTCAAGTAAGCTGGGGTAGTGTAACATGATGCGTAAAAGTGTATATGTATATGAATATCTGTATCGAGAATGCTGAACATGACATTTTGAAACGAGAATTGATTTATTATCGAGATCTGCTTTATATTGTTAACACAGAACTGACTAGTCAACCTGACATCAAGTGGGCATCGTGCCTTCGGACAGATGAAGCCAGCCCACTGCTTAGATGGTCAACATTCTTGTAGTAGAATGCTCACTGCACGGTTGGGCGCAGGAGTATCGAGATGACCGGCCTCGCTCGCATGATGACTGCACGGAGAATGGATGCACCACTAGCCGATCTGTGGTGCTTCACCTCATATCACCCATTTCACAGAGACCGACCATTCTGGAACCCCTGTAGAGGTGTACGACTCGGATCAAACCGAGGCGTGAAATCATGGTCGGAGAGGCTTCGCAATGCAACCCACAGAAGTACGGTCAGTATCAGATCAGACTAGTGGATCGTTCTCGATCAAACCACAGATAACTATAGATTAGATGATGAAACAGGGGCGTGGAGAGAAAGCAGCCTTGCAAGGCATTTTCCACGATTCACAATCCACCCCTCTCCAGTCTAGACGCCCAGGAGGCTTCGTTGAAACGATAGAGTCGAAGGTCTAGACTGGGCGGAGTATCACCGCATGTGACTGGACGGACTTGATCAATTCCGATAGATATTGTCTCCCGTACTGAGTTCCATAATTATTTACCCAGATGGGTATGTCGTTCGCTGGTCCGTGGTAAGAGGAGCGGAATCCTGCCGAGCCCTCCTCCTCAGCAGGAGGATGAGCTCGGCCTTCTGCATGACCTGTGGATCAGTAGACGATCAGGCTAGACTCACAGTGTGTTGGATGGGTTATCCCATGCAGTATCTACTTTGGGCCTGTTCAATGGCTATGTGATCGTGCTGCGCCTCGACCGACAGAACAAAGCCAATCGCTTTTGGAGATATTCTGTAGCCTGGCTGTGGCGTCCGCTGGTCAGCCGAACGAGTACTCTTAACGCCGCTACCGCATCCGGCAATCTGGCCCGATTGCCGTTTATGGTTGTCGCAGTCGACGTCGGTTTCTCATTATCATAGCTGAACTAGTGGCTGAGCTGCTAATAACAGGGCGAGTTATTCCCAGTCGAAACAAATAGACAGATTCAGCGTCAGTTTGAGTACTTGGACGGGAAACACATTTGCCGGTTTAAACTTTGGCAGAGGCTTGTCGTGAGTCCACTTCCGATGATTCTCCATTTGGCCCATTAAGTTGCTAAAGCTGATCAAGCAATAGTGGTTAGATGGCTTGCAGAGTGGCGGTGCGGCTAGTCACTAATCACTCCGTACCATAGTAACAATGGAGACGTAGTACGGTAGTACGTAACTATCTAGATATTCCTAGATAGCAGATTGAAGATAAACTAGAGAATTCTTCAATCTCTCTAGCCGTGCCAAGCTTTGGCTCAGATTCACCATGATCCACCATAAACCAGAAAATAGGAGACCTGGGGATTGTGGAAGCCGAGAATCAACCAAAGCGGTCCCGAAGCCTTCTAGAACGACGCTGGATATCCAAAGAAGGCAGAGCGCTGATTTCCACGAGCTACTAGGCCTGGTCATTCGTTTAACTGTCAAAAGAAGACCATTATTATTACCAAAGATTGCTTTAGCAAAAGGCTTCCATCTGCACTGTCATTTTCGCCAGTTAGTCGCATACAAAACTCTACCTCTTGCCCTTTATCGTCTGTTGTGCCGTGATAACAACTGGAATGTAATGATTTCTGTCCCAGGAATACGTAAATACCTCTGTACGTCCAAGATTCTTGGTTGAAGCACACTTGGTTCAATGTCGAGTTTCATGTCTCAACAACATCACAGGCTCAAATATGTGAACATCCGGCATTTATCCATTTTAATTTCCAAGGAAAACAGTTTCTTCAAATTGAAAGCAAAACTCATGTATCATTGGCCAATGGAGAGCCACATACGTCATTTCATGCTGAGAAAAGGACCTAGGGCTTTACTGGAGTATGTTCCGTGAAGGGTAACCAATAAAATTAATTCCTTGCACCATGGAAAAGGGATGAGGAGTGCAGTTTCGTCGGACAAACAAACTTGAAACAGTAAAGCGCCAAACGACAACACACCAGACGAAGACCATTTGTGATTGATTATTTGGGGCAAATGTCAGGGGTACTCATTATACCGTACCTAAGGTAGTATTTGATGGCAATAGTTCTCGTATTCTGCCGGAGGATGGAATACGACACAAGCTCAACATGACATGCAGGTGGTCAACTGGCTGCATAAGAATCCCTTGTTGACATGATCTCTGATGATCAACAACTACCGTAGATAGAAGTAAACAAACTACCAGATCTTGGTGGAAGATCTCCTGATTGTCCCATCACTTGCCGTGTCCAAGACAGTAACAATACGGAACTGGTAAGGAGGGTGGATCATCTCCTTAGGGTGCAGCATTGTTAGCCCTAGGTCTCGAACCAATCAACAGCCACAGCATGCAAAGGACTCCGCTTCTCGAAGCTGAGTCAGCGGGGGACGCGCAAGCCGATTTACCTAACCTGATTTCTATTCCTGGAGAGGACAAAGTGCCCACTTCTCAGGCCTCCTAGATACTAGTAGTGTCTCCTTCCAGACTCCCTAGTTCTACCGCGACCATCTATGGTGCCTCCCGACTCCTGTCGTTCTGCTTCACGTCTCTGATCCCTCATAACCTACCTATCTATCTATCTATCTACTATCTATCACCCTTTCCACCGGTCGATCTCCAGCAATCTCCCTGACCCATCCTACCGTTACTACGATTTCGACTGCATTATCCCACACCTTTCTAACCCTTTCCATTGATCTCGACTCTTTGGTTCATAACCTCGACTTCATTTCCCTATCCATTCTTTCCTCGAACGATATCCTTCTAGAACCTCGCGTATACGTACACTCTTAAAATCTCTATCACGCCTTTCACCGTCATTCGCTATCTACATATATCCAGCCGTCCTATCAAACTATCAATTGACCATCGTTGATCGACCGGACGCTTCATTCGTTCGATATCGGAGGTACTCGCAGTTCCATCAACAAAATGGCGACTCTAGCGGAACCCCCTACGGTCATGTCATCATCAACCTCGCCGATGCCGACCGTGTACGAACAGGACATTGACAGCTTCATCAACCTAGATCAACTCACCTACACATCCGCAGAACCAGCTCGACCAAAAGCCATCCTAGCAAGCCAGCCTTCTCTCCCCAGCTCAGATTTCACCGCCGGCGTTGTTCGCAGTGCGACATTCGCTGCCAATGGTCACTCACCTATGGCTTTCCAAGGACCTAGCCACCAATATGAGGAACACAAGCAGCAGACTGGTCTGCCACCAGGAGCTCTAGCGCAGGCAATGAACTTCAATCAGATGGCCGGCGTCACTTTCGGTAACGCGAGCCCTGCTTACCAGATGAACGGCGACATGTTCGCTAGCAGCCACATGAAGCGGGAAGACACTTCGTTCGATTTCAACAACATGTCTTCTCGTAACCCGTCTGAAATGGACCTGGAGTCTGACGGCATGGGCGCGGTTCCTTACTATCTCTCACCCAATGTCAACAAGAATCAATTCATCGATCCCAATGCTCTTGGAGGTCATGAAGTCGTTCCTGCTGGGCCTTCCACTCAGGTCGGCCGCATGTATCCGGGAATGCACCAACAACAAGCAGCCATGGCAAAGGCGGCTCAGCAACAACAACAAAAACAACATGAGATGCTTCGTCAGCAGCAACAGCAGCAGCAATTCCAGCAGCAGCAGCAACAGCAGCAGCAACAGCAACAGCAGAGCCAGCCCCCTCGCGCCACGAACCCTGCCGTTGAGGAACGGATTACGCGCCTTTTGCAGCAGATGAGACACAACGCTATGGGCGCTATCGAGGACACACCATCGCCCTCTTCGTCCTTACCTCAAATGGCAAAGATGAAGAAGGATGAGCAGGATATGGACGAAGATGAAAGGTTACTTGCTAGTGAAGAGGGAAAGAAACTCAGTAGCAAGGAACGTCGGCAGCTACGCAACAAGGTTTCGGCACGCGCTTTCCGATCGCGCAGAAAGGGTATGCTTTTAATTATCGAACACCGACCATATCTGCAATACTAACATGAACTAGAATATATCGGCCAACTTGAGTCAGAGGTCGCTGCACGGACCAATGAAGCTCACGAACTACGTCTTCAGAATCGTGTTCTGTACGAGGAAAATGCTCGCCTCACCGACCTTGCTCGCATGCTTCTCTCCTCCCCTCATTTCTCTCAATTCCTGGACGAGATGAGCGTCAATGGCGTCCCCGCCCCCAATCTACCTCAATCTCAAACCCAGGTTCCTCAATCCCAGCCCCAGCCGCAGCAACAGCAACAGCAACAGCAACAGCAACAGATTAAGCCTCAATCTCAACCACAGCCCATGGGGCAGCCGCCCATGCAAGCTAGCATCGTCAGAGACGCCACTCCTAATCACGGTATCCCAGTGCCTCAGAACCCTCAGGTTGGCATGGTTATGGTCCCTAATCAACCGATGGATGTTTCTGCAATGAGTCTTAACAATGGCGCCTGGAATACTGGAATTGACATGAGCTATGGCAACACTCCTGTGTTTGCTGTCCTGGAGGTTCCTGAGGGTCCCGCTCTCGACGCAGAGATGCTCTCCGGAAAGAGCTCGAGTTTGTTTGGAACATGTCTGCCAGAAGTATCTTCTGCAAAGGATGAGATCCCCATGATTGAGCGGCCGCCGAATACAGAGGAGGATTCTCCTGTCGGTGTCGAGAACCCAGATATTCAGCTTGACGAGTCCGACCCTGCTTTCGCCCTCTTCGCCGACTCCCCCGCCAGCGACTCGTCGTTAGACTCCCCTGTGGACTTCCCTTGCACCATCCGATCTGAAAAGTCAACGCCTGCATTTGAGCTGGTAGTCGAGAACGAGTCCAAGGCCACTGCAGACCGTTTTGTCGCTCTTTGCAACAGTATGGAGGCCGCCTTCCAACGCGTCTCTGTGATGACCTCCCATCTTTCATGATTCCCCCACGCCGCGCGGCCGAGCATTTGTGATACCTATAGGATTTGTAAATTCCATCCTTGATATTTGTACTGTTTTGGGCTTGTGATCATCAATTTCCTGTGAGGATACATACTCCCCCTCTTTCCTTTGTTCATGGCATTTGACTGTACATCTGCGTCCCGCATCGTCTTCGTCTCACTCTCTTTATCTCTATCGTTCGCTTGTCAATTCTGGGTTATTGGAGTCTCGGTGTATTGAAGGAACAGGTCTCGCTTCTATTTGGGAAGGGTATAGGAATTGGACGCCGGGTCCATTGGCCATTAGGAACCGACATTAGCTTTAGTCGAATAAGATCAAAAGTCAGAATAAGCTGCAGCTATTCAAAAGAATTATTAAATACAAGAACTAAATATTCGCAGTATTTCAATCGGTGGATGTAGTCTATGCCTCCACAGTCAAAACACGCCAAGAGTCTTCGGGCGGAGGCAAAACTAAAACCAAATTATTCTGGATGACTTCAGCAACTCCGATATCCTGACTCACAAACAGAGTCTCTCATCCAGGAAGGCAGTCACTCAATTTCGGATTCAACCCTGGATAGCTCTCTATTGACTTATTCTTGGATTCTGCAATGATTGCGCAGTGCCATCCATTCCTTCGGTGAAAGCTTTTCAGCAGCCACATTGGCTTCCCTTCTTTTTTCGGGGAGGCTGTTCACCAAGGCCTTTCGCCTGGCTCCGTCGTCAGCAGGCTCTTCTTGCTTCTCCAGAGCTGCGTCTTACCTCAAGTCGCGTCACCAGGTCTACGAAGGCGCGTCTGGGCCTCCCAAACCGTCAGTGTATCGTCCGTTCAAGGCACTTCGAACACGCGACCATCGCCGCGAGATCAATCCAGACGCCTATCTTCTCAGAGCGCCCAAACTCGAATTCAAACGAGGGAAAACCTACATTCTATACAACCCTGCTTCGCGCCAGGACTCCGGCTTCGATTCTATACCTACTTGCCCTGTTGGAAACAAACCAATGAAGTTCTACTATCAGGTTCTGACGACGCCGACGGCCGATACGCCGGGCACGACCGTCGTCCTACATTTCCCGGAGAAACGGTATTTCTTTGGCCAGATCTCAGAGGGGACCCAGCGGGCCTGTACGGAGCGCGGTGTCAAGCTATCCTACCTTACGGATATCTTTCTGACGGGACGGACGGAATGGGCGAATAATGGCGGGTTGATTGGTGTGATTCTCACTCTGGCGGATGGGCTAGCGAGCGCCGCGAATGCGTTGGAGCTTACTGCGCGTGAGAAGGAGGCCAAGGGCCGTGGTGGTCAGCCTGTTAAACAGCAATCGCAGCAGCAGGACGGGCAGGCTGACAGGGGCACGTTGACGATTCATGGTGGCCGAAATCTGACGCACACCCTAGCCACTGCGCGGAGGTTTGTTTTCCGTAAGGGCATGCCGGTTTTCACGAGGGAGTACGACTCGGAGAGTCTGTCCAAGGCTGGTTCTCAGGCACGCGCCGCTGATCCCTTTGAGCAGCCGACCTGGTCGGACAGGAACATCAAAGTGTGGGCCATGCCCATCCGCCCCTCGCCGTTGCAGCGGTCGAGAAGGACATCTCCTCAAGCCGGGCCTCGGAGTCCGAGAAAGAGGAGCTTGGACGAGTTCCAGGAGCGCGACGCTGACAAGCCTGTTCTGGACCAGCGGGCTCGGGACCAGATCATGAGGCAATCGGTCATCTCCGACATGTTTAATTCGTCGTGGAGGATGGATGCTCTCGTCGAGACTCCTTTGGCAGAAGTCAAAATGCCTGCGGTCATGTTCGTGCGGGATCCCGAAACCAAAGACCTCAAGCCGTACCATGGCCCTGCTCCTGGAAGCGACAAGCCACTTCCTGACATCAAGGTGCTCGTGCGTCAACCCTGGCCTGGAGCCAGTGTGGAGAAACTGCCACCCACGACACGGTGCGATGAGGCGGTGTCTTATATCGTGCGCAACCACGATCTTAGAGGCAAGTTCGACCCACAAAAGGCGAAAGAGCTGAACGTTCGCGCCGGTCCCAACTATGCGCGCCTGACGAAGGGCGAGAATGTGCTGTCTGAGGACGGAAAGACCGTCACTCCGGATATGGTCTTGGGTCCACCACGACTCGGGAAGGGGTTGGCAATCATCGATCTGCCTACTTCTGACTACGTAGATGATTTGGTTGACCGGCCGGAATGGAACTCGGCCGCTGTCACCACGGGGCTAGAGGCCTTCCTGTGGATTCTAGGACCTGGTGTGGGCGACCATCCTCGCCTCCGCGAGTTTGTCGCTCGCATGTCGCACTGCAAACACACCGTCTCCAGTACGGATTACTGTCCCAACTACTTGGCACTGAGTAGCGTGGCAGGGTCCTCGATCCGGCTGGCTAGATTGCGCGGCGAGAATTATCCCGTCCCGGTTCATGATAATAAGACCCTGCCACAGCCAGGTACTCCTACGTGCGAATCGGAGACAACCAAGGAAATGATCCGCAACTCGCCATTCGAACCGATAAAACCCGGCCTGGTCATCGACATGGAACCCAAGTTCGAGCTTAATCGCTCAGAGGTCGTGCCACTCTTCAACCCTGCCGAGACCGTGCTGAAGATCCCTCGCTCCATCGAGCAGCGTGTGACTGCCATCCGTAGGCGGGTTATGAACCCCCAATTTCAAGAGAAACTAGCCGAGTTCCGTAAAGGCCTTCCTGGGGCCAATGTGGAGATTGTAACTCTGGGAACTGGCTCGTCCTCGCCGTCCAAGTACCGCAACGTCTCCAGCACTCTCGTCAATGTGCCTGGGGTGGGATCGTATCTGCTTGATTGTGGTGAGAACACCATCGGCCAGCTCAAGCGGATGTACGAACCGAAGAAGTTGCAAGAGGTGCTGCAGAACCTTCGGCTGATCTGGATCAGCCATCTCCACGCCGATCATCATCTTGGCACTGCCTCCGTCATCAAGGCGTGGTTCCATGCGAACTACCCGAACGGCGTACCTCGAGCAGGCAATGTCGAGACCGACATGCGCAAGATTCTCCAAGAAAAACGCCTGTTTGTCGTGTCCGAGGAGATGATGGTCGGCTGGCTCGAGGAGTTTGCCGGCGTAGAGGATTACGGTTTTGGAAAGCTAGTGCCTCTGGCCGCCCATCCCAGCTACATCAACCCAGACACTAAGATCAAGACCAAATTCACCTACCGTCACTGCCGTGACGATGGCTCCTACCCCGGGTGGGAAGCCGACGGGAGCCGGCCTCAGACGTCCACGCTCGACTTCAACGACGGTTCCTCGCCGTTGACCCCGCTCCTGCGTCAGGCCACCGGACTCGCCGATATCCTCACAACGAGGGTCTCGCACTGTCGTGGAGCCATGGCCGTCTCCCTCGTCTTCCCAGACGGCTTCAAGCTCTCCTTCTCCGGCGACTGCCGCCCCTCCGCCAACTTCGCCACCATCGGCCGCGACTCAACCGTGCTCATCCACGAAGCCACGTTCCAAGACGACATGGCCGTCTCCGCCATCGCAAAGAAACACTCCACCACCTCCGAAGCTCTCGAAGTCGGCCGCCTGATGCAAGCCCGCACCGTCGTTCTCACCCACTTCAGCCAGCGGTACCAGAAAGTCGCACACGTCGACCACGGCGCTGGCCCCGCCCCAGCAAAACCAGACCCCGAACCCAAGCCCGCTCCAATGGTCCGCGAGGACCTCGACGTGCCCGACGACGAACCCGCCCCTGAACCCGAGTCCTCCACCCTTACCGTCGCCCCCGCGGAAAACAAACCACCTCTCCAAGCCCCCGTCACCGCCGCGTTCGACTACATGCGCATCCGCGTCGGCGACATCCCCATCGCGCAGGCCTTCGCCCCCGCCATCGAGAAACTCTTCGATATCCTCGAGCGCGCCTCAGCAGTCGAAGCAAACAAACAGAAGAAGATTCGCGAAGCGGCCGACGCCCTGGCGAAGGAGAAGAAGCAAAAACAAAAGAAGAAGGGGGCTGCTGAGCCTGAGCCTGCTCCCTCTGCCACTCCCGCTGCCGGCGAGGCCATGGATACCGACCAGGGTCGGTCTCTGTGGAGCGCCAGCGAAAGCGAGAGCGGATGGGGCTCGAACGATGACGAGTGGATGGATCGGTTTTGGCGTGGGAAGCACAGTCGCAGTCGGAGTCATAGTAGGAGTAAGCCTCGGGGCGGACGGCGCTCGAGCCCGAGTATTCGGACGAAGAGCGGTGATGCCGTTTAGAGTATTCCGTGATAGATGGAAATTGTGAGCGAATACATACATAGACAGACTTGTACCCGTGGTTCCATTTCGCACCATGTGTGCATGCATATACACAAGTCTCCTATTGTTGGTTATTGACCAGCCAGCGACAATACTACAAGACGTGCTATTCAAGTATATCCATTATCTCAGTCTACTGGATTACAAGACGTGATTACCCTCTATAAACTAGCCCCGAAGATATTACTAGAACCCAGCAACAGCCTTCTCCGCATCGTCCTTACCGTACAGCCCCTCCCCTAGATTCTGTACACACTCCTCCCTCCAGTTCTTGGGTGTAAACTTATCCACAATCTCCTTGAAAGCATCGAGCGTACAGAACGTCTCGTCGCCAGGCAGATGGTTCTCCGCTTTCGCTGCGCAGCCGGGAATCCGGACGGGGCGGTCATTGTACCGAATACGCACGTAGTGGTTCTGCAGCGCCTGCAGTGTTGAGTTCGGGAGAGACGAAAGCGGGGCGCGGTCCGTGTCGGACGAGGGCGAGGCTTCATGACCGGTGATGTACGCGAGCAGGCCCCTTTGCTTGGCAGACGGGGAAGGTGACGACGGAGGTGGGTTCTCCGCACGGGAGAAGAGTTCAATAGCGATGGAAGAGGTGAACGGCGGCCATTTGGCGTCAAAGGCGCCCACGCTGCCCAGGATAGCGGCGAGGGTGGTATCGTGGCATCCGCTCATGGCGAACTTGATCGCCTTGCCGTTCTCTGCGGACGAGCCGGAGGCAGAGCGCTCGCTGCGCCAGCCGCCGTTGGCAGCGGCATTGACCATGCGGTCGACCACGTCGCCCATCAGGGCGCCGATTCCGAGTTTCCGGTATTCCCTGCTCTCCGCGTATCCGGCGAACCACTCATCGACGGCGATGGTGTTGGTGTACTCGCGGGCCTTCTTGTCGTAGAACTCCGCGGGTAGTCTCGTGGCGGGGCCGTGAGCGTCGGTCGCGTTGATCGTGTCTTGGATACCAGAGAGGCGGGGGTGAGAGTCGACAGCGATTTGGGGAGAGGCGTCGGGCATCCACTTAGACCAGAGGCTGTTGAGGTAGTTCATTTGTTCCGATTCGTTCCCTGTAGCGTTATCATTAGGCTCAGTTTCACCACTGATTCTGAAGCGGAAGCGTACATCTTTTCGCGGCACGATCAGCGAATAGCCGAGCCAATTGCCTGAACCGCCGGCAGTTACCCTCATTGGGAAAGAGTGTCTCATCCGAGAAAGAGCGCGCAACAATCACCGGCGGAGGGAAGTCTTGCGTACGCGCACTGGCCGGGTACATGCCCCAGAAGGCTTGCTGGAGGCTCTCGAGAGCTCGAGGGATAGGCGTGGCGCGAAGATACATATCTTCCGTATCCGATTTGATCTTTGGCATGAAACCGAGCTGGTCGACATATAGATGTCTCAGACGCTGACCCAGCTCAAATGTAGTCTCCCGCCCTCTATCTGTCAATTCACCATGTTGGCTGTAAAAGTCGCGAAGCGTATATCCAGTCAGCTATCAAGTCTTCACGACCACCAATTCGTCTCAGAAGTCAGGGGACCTGCCAGATACCCTCTATGTCACCCTTTGCACCCACGGCAACAACCGACTCGTCTCTGTCACCAAAGGCTTCCATTTTTCTTCGCCATTGAAAGCCATTCCACGATGAGAGGTCTTTCTCGCTGGCTGCCATCTGAATCATCCGACGCGCGACATTGCAATACGGCCAATCTTTGTGTGGTCATCGAGTTAGGAACGAGCAGTAAGGCTGAGGGCGATCGTAAATTCGATGCAGGGGTCCTTACATGGCGCGAGGCCTGCCTTGGAGATGTCAGTTTAAGTCTCACGCCTCATCAGGATCAGAAATGGCCATGTTACATACATTCTGGAATCGCGAGGAGACCGGCGTCCGTTCACCTTGAATAACCGTTCTTAGATCCAATTGCTTGGAGATAGTTCGACAGCAGGAATTATCGTACCGTGACGAAGGAACTATAGTCTCACTCAGTAAGCTTGATTCACTCGGCCCGGGAAACCACGTTTTTATCTCATCACATACCACCTGGACCAATTGAAGCTGAAGCTCCTTTGGATAGAGCTTCTCGAGCTCTTCCTTGGAGTATGGCTCGCGGGGCACAAGAGTCGTCATTGGTAACACCTCACGTAGAACTGAAGAAGCAGACTGGTTATTAACAATAAAAGAGGACCCTCATGAAAGGAGCCCAGAAGACTAGCAATTGGGTGCAAACTCAATGCAGCACCTCGGACTGAAAGAAAGTGTCTTACGGTGACTCGGGTTGGGCGCTTGATGACGCCAATGAGCGGTGCGCAGGAAACGGGCCAATCAGTGCAGTGCCGAGGATCACCTGTCGCGGCGCTCTCATTGAGATCGGCTCTCTCTAGTATCCTACTACCTCTTTACAATGCCTAGGTTTTCTCCAGACACTGAACTCGAGATATTCTTCCACTACGGACGGGGTCAAGTGAATCAGATTTAATATAATTGAGCGAGTAGGTTGACTATCTGCGATGACATACAGACGTGCTGCGCTACTCGCGGCCAAAATTCAGTTACCATTAAGCAGCATCACGATAATGCTTGCTATTCAACATGTCAATAGCTCTAGCGTGTTCGCTTCGTCAAATAATACTACCTCTTCTTCGCCCGTTTCGCTTCAGCCTCCCGCTTCATGGCTCTGAGACGGGCCCCCAATATCTGAATCAGCATATTGCCTGGAATTAGATGAAAGCTCAGACCCTGGAGGGAGTGAGGCCAATACGCCCAGACAACCGGTTCGCCGCATCCGACGCGATTCAAGGCCGCTGAAGCCAGACCGCGAGAGGTTGGGGTGAATAGGCCCACGGCCACATCATTCCCTTGACTATTGGTATTTCCCACACGTAGCCCGAGGACTTCCACGTCTTTGCCGTCGAGCGTCATTTCGGCTTGCAGCGACCGGGTGAAGGATTCCACGAATCCCTTGGAGGCACTGTATACTGTGAGGGTCGGCATCACATAGGCTGCTGCCGAAGAGACGGTGAGAATGAGACTTGGGCTATTTTTCTTCAGGATAGGCATCAGGACGCGCGTGATTTGCGCCGTAAAAGTAGAATTAAGGCTGATGGTCGCCTGCACGTCTTCATGTGTGAGCTCGGCCAGCCGCTCGAACGGGTTCACTCCCCCTCGGCATTGTTGACCAGAACAGTGAGACGGGCGTCACCAATCTCTTGTGCAATCCAACTGAGATCTTCAGAGCTTTTAAACGCGTCGAAGACGATGATCCGAACCTTTGCGTTGGGGAACTCGGCCAGCAGCTCATCCTGTTTTCGTAGTAACTTGTCGTGATTCCGACCGTGTAGGAAGACATTGAATCCACGCTGGCAGAGTTCCTGGGCAAATCCAAAGCCTATTCCATCGCTGGCGCCGGTCACGAGAGCCCAAGCATCTTTCTCAGGGGAGTTGTACCGCGAAAGACTGGAGGGTCGGAGGTAGCAGTAAAAATGGCGGGCGACTTGTACGGCAAGATAACAAGTAGATGCAGCGCCAATATAGCCGAACGCGGTTTGCAATTCTTCTGGTATTTGCAGCATTGTAGAGGATCGTTGGCGATGAGTTGCTTCTGGATGGGACGTCGCGTGTAGGCGCAAAGGGGATTCAGTTTCAGCCTAAACTGGACATGAGATACATATATACGACTGACGCTCGATTTCTGTCAGTTAGCGCTGGTCAATAAGAATTCAGTGGTTGAGATTAGAGCTGTGTGGAAGAAAGTCATAATCTTTAAACTACATCTCTCCCTACTTCGCGGTGGACAGAAATAATCGGGCGGTCTTTGACGGCGCAATCGTGCGATGAGATCATTCATCACGAGATCGTGGCCGTGTTGACCATCGTGATGCGCAACTAGTCTCTTTTGCCAGGGACCGAGCATGTCCGAGAGAGCATCTTATCATGATCCTCCAAGCATGGTGGACATGGAAGTTGGAGAATAGCAATTAGACTATTCGTGTGGATATCTCTCAAGAAGACCCAGTGCGAGGCAGCTTGACACTCTTTCACAGCGAACGCTGAACGCCAAGCCAACCTACCCCGGCTTATCTCCAGACCACTCTGCACCTTCACCTTTATCCACACTCGACCTCTCGCTGCCATTGAGATCCAAGGTATTGACAGCGCAGTTGTCTGGAACGCGTCAATCTCCCCTCTGCGATACCATATTGAACTAGACAGCGTCCGTCCTACGCAGGAACTTCCCCATTGTGGTCTTGTTCTCTTCTGGTCTGCGCCCACTGGGATAGTATATACTCACGTGGATGCAGTGTTCGGGGATATTGGATATTCACTATTACAAAACTCATTCTTCTGGAAAAATTCGCAGCGCGCCTCGCCATGAGGCTGAAGATCTAATCTTCTTTCGACATTCACTCATTGGCTTTGTCCTCAGTGTCGCGTCTTGCACCCACAAGTAGCACATTGGATCACTGACTTCCATTGTCTTCTTCACTGCCGTCGACCTTTTTGAAGCCTCTTCAATTAACATGGATGTAAGGAAGCCTACTCCTATTCAATTCCCTCGTCCCAGCTATGCTGGAAAACCACAGAAAATGCCACGTTGACGATCTATGGTTTTGCGCGAAGCTTGTCTCGCCGCTGAAATTGACAAATCGTCGCAAATAATGAGTCTAATGCTGAGCTGACTTCTGTCGTCTCAGATTGCAAACCAGCATTTGGGGCCGCCGGTACAAGGCAAACCGGGCCATCTGGCCACGAATAAGCCTCGAGATGCTAAACCGCGCTTACTTCTGATGGGACTTCGCCGGTGAGCTATCTGCGTCTGAATAATGCTTAAACATGTTGCTGACTTTACTCAGGAGCGGCAAGTCATCCATCGCCAGCGTTGTCTTCCATAAGATGCCGCCAAACGAAACATTGTTTCTAGAATCGACGACCCGTATCCAGAAAGATTCGATTCAGTAAGTGCGCCTCTGCGCCGCCGTATCTTGGTCTTACACGATCTTTAGCTCTTTCATGGACTTCCAAGTCTGGGATTTTCCTGGTCAGCTAGAATACCTCGAGCCCTCATTTGACCTAGAGGATATTTTCGGCAGTCTAGGCGCGCTCGTATGGGTGATCGATGCCCAGGATGATTATCTAGACTCCGTTGCTCGGTTGAATCGGACCATTCTGACCGTCCAGCAATACTACCCGAACATCAATATCGAAGTTTTCATCCACAAGGTTGACGGGCTTTCAGATGAATATCGCACCGATACCTTTCAAGACATAGTGCAGCGCATCTCGGATGAATTAAGTGATGCGGGGTACGAAAATGCTCCAGTACACTACTATTTGACATCAATCTATGACTACTCAGTTTTCGAGGCTTTCAGCAAGGTGATCCAGAAGCTGATCCCAAATCTTTCTACCTTGGAGAATCTGATCAACACACTTGCGAATAATTGTGGTTTCGAGAAGACATACCTCTTCGACGTCTTGAGCAAAATTTACATTGCCTCTGACACTCGTCCCGTGGATATGTCATGTTACGAAATGTGCTCAGATTACATAGACGTGATTGTTGATGTCTCAGAGTTGTATTCGTGGGACCACCCAGACCGCAAGCCCAAGGGAGATCAGATACAAGAGGCGGAAAGTCATGTCGTCTTGCACGACGAGACCATGATACATTTGATGGAAATGAACAAGTGAGCTGTCTCTGACATATCAATTGTTGAAACTGTACTGACTGTTTAAGGTACCTATGTCTTGTCTCTGTGATTCGTAATCCTGAAGCGAAAGAGAAGAAGGGGCTTATCGACATGAACTGCCGCACGTTCCAAGACGCGCTTAATGATGTGTTCTCAAGGAGCTGGGAGCAAGACCAGGATACAGATCAGGCAGACGAAGAGCAGACGCAGCCTCAACTGGTTGAGCAAGGACCAAGGAGCTGAGCACATGGAAAGCTACTTGAAACTTAACGAAACACTTTGTACTGGCCTAAGTCTTCGAAGCCCGAAATGACTGGGCTGTGGTCCTATGGCAGTATTCCCTCTGTCGAGACCACTGCTACTCATGATATTCCGATACATACATTATTTCTGAACTCAATTTGATCAGGCTGGACCAGTCCGTATCTTCGTCTATTAGGAACTACAATCCTGTAGGCCTCAGGCACCGAGGCATCAACTATTGCAGACCCACTTACCGAAATTTTCCCTTTTCCTGAGCTTTAAAAAGTTTCGATTCCCTCTTCTGCATCTTCTTCTCTCCCACTCACCAAGAAATAATTGGTACTGCAATAGCAAGAGCTATAGCATCAAGCATAATGTCGGCTTGATCCACTGACATTCAGATCCACCGTGTTCAACAACTTCATAAACTCCCAACGAACTGTTTAACTCACCATAATTGGTAAGTGCATCTGCTTCATTCTCAATCGCAACAAAACTCTTCTCCCCTCTCTTAAATGATGAAAACCTTTTCCACATTCGCAGTTTCCACGCTAGCCGTCGCTAGAACCCATCTTAGACGTGCTCTGTGCGCATTTTCTTCCTTGGATGTCTGACATTTTTGACCACTTTTGTTCTGCTCTTGCAATAGTGAGTGTGAGCTTTTGCTGATTGAATCATAGTTTTCTAGGTTCTAGTTGTCGACGGCGACCAATGTTTGAGATTTAGTCATAAACGGCGGTCAAGAAGAATAATTGTGGTCTTGGTTACAGTTTTTGGATACAGAGATTTCAGAGCAATAGCAAGTGGTTAGACATGCATATTGTGCAGGAGCTATAGATCTTAATGATAGTATACGCAACGACCGTATAACCTTGCGTGCTATTGGAATACTAGTTTTGTAAGGTGTTGTGTCGCTCGATGAGTTGAGAGCTAGATTGACGCAGTATGGTGAAGCGATATGAAACAGACAGCAGTCTGTTCTTGTAGATAATATAGCTTAATGCCGAGCTGGCAGCTCTGCAATCAATTCGAATGATACCAGTTCCACATCGCGCTCCATAATGTGAAACCATGGCCCAGACACAACTGGCGGAGAAGTCGGACATAAGCTGTCGAAGCTATCTGTCCTCGGTTTTCTGGGCGAACTTCCATACAAGCTACATCAGCACAGAACAAACCCAAATGCCATCCAGCATAGTCTAAACAACAACAACCAAAACTATGTCGGAACTCCGCCAAAGACAAGTCCCCCCGCAATCTTCCTCGACATCCGACAAGCCTACAAAATCAGCATCGCCGCGACGAACCAGCCATGACGGAGGGATCAGCGTCAGCGACATCATCCGCGTCCTGCTCACGCTGGTCGTAGCATCCTGCGGGCTCTCCTACTACATGACCGGCGAGTCTGTTCTCTGGGGATACAGGCCGTGGTTCACAAGATGGCCGGTGTTGGTCCAGTACATTGTAAGCCAAGCCCCGTCTCTCCGCGAGAGCCCTTGGGTGTCCTCATCGCCATACCCGACGACGATGCTAACAATGCAAAGAAAGGACCTGTCTACCTAACACCGGACCAACTCGCCCTCTACAACGGCAGCGACCCCTCCCTCCCCATCTACGTCGCCGTCAACGGCACCATCTTCGACGTCTCCGCCAACCCGCTCGTCTACGGCCCCGGTGGCGGCTACAACTTCTTCGCGGGCCGGGATGCAACCCGGGCGTTTGTGACGGGCTGCTTCCAGGAGGACCTCACGCATGATCTTACGGGTGTGGAGGAGATGTTCATCCCCCTTGAAAACGAGGAGGAAGACAGGAAGCTGAGCAGTGGGGAGAAGAAGATCCGGCGGGAGCAGGACAGGAGGGTGGCGCTGGGTAAGGTGCGGAAGCAAGTGGCTCACTGGGAGAATTTCTTCCGTAACCACAAGAAGTACTTCGAGGTGGGGAAGGTGGTGGGATTGGAGGATTTGCCCAAGGAGAAGAGGGAGCTTTGTAAGGCGGCGAAGCAGCAGCGGCCGAAGAAGAGGGATGTAGTGTCTTGATGTTATGGCAAATCTGGCGTGTATAATGGTTACGATCAGGCTATAGTATCTACAAATCGGAAAAGCAAAGTTGGAACAGATTTTGTGAGATCGATTCAGTCAAATTTACTTGACATATGCAGAAGCGCGTGCTTTCACACCAGAATACATCATTCGCCCAGCCAGACTTTCCGAATTTTATAGTGATATCATTCGTAGCATAAAAAAAGGACCGCGAGAAATGTTCGTAGGAAATCGTTTACTCAGCGGCAACGGCACGGGCTGTACGCATGTAGTTAGCATTGCCATCCAACAACCACAATCATTCATATTGAACCGCAAGCAGTGCGAGCACATACTGTAGATGGTCATCTTGGAGTGGCCAACGACCTTCTTGATCTGTCCCTTCTCCTCGAGATCAGCGAGGGCCTTGCGGGCCAAGCTGCCGTTGATCTTCAGACGGTCGACAAGGGTGGCGACGGTGATCAGGCGGTAGGACTGGACATCCTTCTGCAGTCTCTCGGCAGTCTGCTTCTCAAGGACGACGGCGTGCTGGGCCTTGTCCTTGACTGTACGGTGAAATTAAGTCAGCATTCGTTCAGTCTCCGACCCCAAGCATCGTTGAATCCGACAAGCGACAAGCTCTTCTCCCCGACAGAAAAGGAACCGATGTGGCATGTTCATTTCAAGTGGAAAGATGATCGCTCGCTTCAACGTTGTTGGGTGATACGATGATGGGAAGGCGATGGAAGTGCGTACCCTTGCCCTTGGACCACTTCTTCTTTTGCTTTCCTGCGCCGGCGGCCTGAAAAATAATGTTAGTATCGCCTCACATTCTTCATAACCTTAATGGAACAAGGCGCCTCCAAAACGTACCATTTTGACTGTCTGATGCGGATGTTCGACGGAAGAGCTGCACAGAACGTCGGCCAGAAGTTTGAATACCCAAGTGCGAAATTGAGTGGGGGATGACTCAGCGTCACGTGGTGCTGAACCCTAAGCCCTCTCGCTGATGATGGCTCGGTTAGCATGGCCCCGTCTCCGGGATGTGATTGGCCAGCGGGAAGTATATCCCAGGATTGATGGAGTGGACTTCAATAGTTGAGCAGGTGATGGCTATCTTGATCCTTCTTTCTTAGTTTTTCTTATGGATATAACATATATGGTCTGTAGACTAGAACTCTCGATCACAAGAATTCATTAGTCGTCATAATTATCCAGAATAGCCCAACTGAATTCAGCATCATCTGCTCGTGTTCGAGCAATGATTATTTGAGGACTTGTTATTCACGCTGTAAGCTACTTTAAACTGCTGAGCGCCGTCCTCCAATCCGAAATGACCAAGGACGTATTCGTCGAGTGTTCCGAACCATAAAGCTGGCACTTCATCTTGACCTGAAGGCAACCATCTTATGTCGTATTTTCCACCTTCACTTCGTGAAATCGGGATTGGGATAATTGACGGGGGTGTATCAAGTGACCAATATCGGACAGCGGGGACAAGATTATTAGATGTAGTTACAAGGAACTCGGTCTTAAAAGGATGCCATGCAACCTGTCGGACTGGATGGTCGTGAAGCAGAACGGAGACGAGACCGGGCTCTGTTTTCAAATCCCAGATCCAGACAACATTGGGTCGTGTCTGATCGACTGTACTGAGAAAAGCACCGTTGGCACTGAATGCCATAATCGTTGCGCCCCGAGGTGCACCAGTCGACTCTGAAATCATGCTAAAGGCAGAAGATGCTGGCAACTCGGTGTATCCAAGACTCCCATCTGCCGTCACAGATCTCTCATGCCAGGCACTTAGCGAGGGCTGATCCATTGAGAATGCATGTGAGAGTGTCATGGAGCAAGAAAACTGTATCAGTCATTAGGATTACTCGTAATACACGATGACAGGCCTCCAGCAAACAAGAGAGCTCAGAGGACAATGACTTACCGTCTTGGTATTCAGAATGTCTATCGTTCCATCGACTTTTCCAACGGCTAGCAGATCCGAAGTATCACCCTGGCCAACTGTTGGGCTCCATTCTATGCTTCTCACCCCAAGGTCAAAAACACTTTCCGATTCAGGCGAGCCGTTATAGGTTCTATAAAGGTTTCCATCTGCTGTATATATTAAGAGTTTGGTACCCGCACTTGCCGCATCCCAGACGGCGATCCAGTTTCCATCGGGGCTCCATTTCAAGCCCTGAGCATCCGACGTCGGTAGGTTAACTCGATTAACGAGCTCATAAGACCGATATTCATGGATCGTCAACAAGTCGGACGTTTCCGGCTTCAGTAAGATTGCAAACTGTCGCGTTCGCGGTCGATAGCCGAAGCCGTTACAATGAGAAAATTTTGGAGTTTTGATGACCTGGCTTCGACCCCTGTCCAGCGAATGGATCGTTAACTTTGTGTTCCACGCATGGAATACAACAATCTCGTTTTCGTCGGCTCCAAAGTCAATATTCAAAGCACTGGATTCGATATTTTCGATCTCAGCGTGCAGCTGCAGGGGATGAAGGTCCCAGACCAGAATACGGGTATCGCTAGCACAGAGGATACGTCGTCCTGTGCTCTCTTCTTGGCTGCTGATGGTATCGGACTGAGCGAGTTGTTTTGGCCGCGAAAATCTCAGGAACCTAGTCGGTGTCTCTTTGAGCTTAACAATTTCTACCTCCTTAAAGTCCGAAGACACGGGATTGAGGTGAATGATGAGGTCTTTGCCATTGAGTTGAGCTGCAAAGGCTCCGTCATCCGATAGAAAAGCTGCCGATGAGCCTGCCATCCTGTTATGAAGCTGTCTGATTTTGTGGTATGTGCTCATTGGACTTACCTGCAACTGCTGTGGAGTCCATTGCTGTTCGTTTCAAACGTATAACATGCAGCCAATAAAATTGTCAAACCTGCAGCGAGTTGTCGGGAGCACATAAGACAGCTGCTACTCACACATGTCTCTGCATCAGCTACACCACTTTTCTAAAATGTTACAGAAGAAATCCCAGTTGACTGTTTCTGTCTTTCATTGCCCGTTTCGGAGGATAAACACCGCCAAGATCCAGTCTCGGATTATATAAGCCGGTATAGATATGAACTACCACTTGGTTTGGAGATTATTTCTAACCACAACGTCATTCTCAGGTACTCATGGGTCATTGATATAGAGTTCAAGCAATGACAGAATTATCAAGTGTCCACCTTAACAACCATCCGTTGTTTACGAAACTTCTCGATTCTACTCCGTACCCATGGCAATGGCGACACTGGCGATGATCAGTGATAAGATAAGAACCGCGCTGTTGTTTTTCCGTTCCGGATAATCGCCGCTCGGGAAAAAAAAAAGACAATGTTGACTAGACTGGCCTGGAAGCCACAAACGAAGTCAGGTTCTTCTTAGATATCTGTTTTCTCCTCTATCAGCCACTATAGGGACTGTGCGCTTTCTTACCCCACTGCTGGGGCCATCATACTTTGGTCTCCGACGTCGATTCTTTGCAAAAATGGCAGTGTTAGAGACGCAGCCTGCTCCGCAAAAAGCGCCTGAGAGCGCAACTGCGGAGCCCGGGAAGAAACTATTCGGCAGAGAGTTTTATGAGAGCATAGGAAGTCCCAAGTATATTGTGGCGCCTATGGTTGACAGATCCGAATTTGTAAGGCCCATGCCTCTCCTGTTCAGCGCATCCGGACTAACGATCCATCTCCCAGGCCTGGCGCATGCTGACTCGTTCGTTCATGCCACCCGAGGACCCGAAACCAATTCTCGCCTACTCCCCCATGTATCATGCGCGATTGTTTCGAGAGCAAGCGAATGTTCGTTGGCAACATTTCCAGCCTACCCGAGCCGGTCTCGACAAGAATGACAATTCCCTCTACCTTGACGGCAACCCGGCTTTTGACAGACCGCTTTTCGTACAGTTTTGCGCCAATGATCCCGATGATTTTCTAGAAGCTGCCCGACACATTGCGCCCTACTGCGATGCTGTCGATCTAAATCTTGGATGTCCCCAAGGTATTGCCCGGAAGGGCCATTACGGAGCGTTCCTTCAAGAGGATTGGGATCTGATCTACAAGCTGATCAACCGACTGCATAAGGAGCTTCCCATTCCCGTTACAGCCAAGTTCCGCATACAGGAGTCGAAGGAGAAGACGTTGGAGTATGCGAAAATGATATTGTCCGCCGGAGCTAGCATAATCACACTTCACGGGCGCACAAGGGAGCAAAAGGGTCACAACACAGGCTTGGCAGACTGGAGCTACATCCGATATCTGCGCGACAATTTACCGCCAGAGACGGTCATCTTCGCAAATGGGAACAATCTGAACCATGATGATCTGGAACGTTGTCTCGAGGCAACAGGCGCGGACGGTGTAATGAGCGCGGAGGGTAACCTGTCCGATCCGGCCATCTTCAGCAAACCTCCCCCGGTTGGTAGCGAAGGACGCGAGTATTGGAGGGGTAGAAGCGGAAAGGGCGGATACCGCATCGACGCTATCTTCCGCCGATACTTGGACATCATCTATCAATATGTCCTGGAAGTGCCAGTTCCAGAGCGGAAACCTCTCTATCTCCCTTCAGATCCCAAAGAGCCCGAGCAGGTATCACCTACAGTGCCAGGGGAAGCGGAGGCTGAGGATGGCCCTCCGAAAAAGAAGCAAAAACGGGACAAGGCGAAGAGACCGAATTCTCCCAGTCTCGGAGTGATGCAAGGGCATCTCTTCCAGATTCTGCGTCCAATGGTCTCAAAGCACACGAATGTACGAGATGCGCTTGCAAGGTCCAGACCAGGGGATATGGCCGCGTTCGAGCACACTCTGTTCCTCGTCGAACAAGCAGTCAAAGAAGGCCTCGACGAATACGAACAATATCCAGAGCGGTTTGAAGTGGCTCCTAATGCAGACTTGAAAGGCTCCAAGGCAACAATCGCCGAATATGGCAGACCCTGGTGGGTTTGTCAACCTCACATTCGGCCTTTGCCGGAGGAAGCCATGGAAAATGGAGCTTTGAGGCCGAAGAAAAAGGAACTCGCAGAGGAAGATAAGGCTCAGAAAGACAGTTCGTCGGCACCGAGAATGACCTCGGACTCTAGAGTCGACCCAGTGGAAGCTGCAACACCGGACACAGCGACACCAGATCGACTCGTCAGTGGTTAGTCCAATGGCTTCTCAATTCTGGGGCCTCAGTCCAGCACATATATTGGCCTTCATCCGCCATGACACATGTCGTGGTCATGATATCACGGTAAATAGATTTCACGATTTTGCATAGCGTTTCTGTATTGGCATCTCAAATAGACACTGTCGTTCAAGCCATGTCTAATCAAATGCATTCCATACTCCTCAGACATAGATGTTTCATGCTATCATAGTCATGCAACTGGTATCTCAACCATAGACCAAAATGAAACTCCGTGAACTCCAATCCCAGCCAAACAACCAATAAAAATGAAGCTAGAAGTCCAACGCAAGTTGCGGAGCCATCTTTTCAAGATCCTCGACCTATGCCACATGTCAGTAAATCAATAAGGCATTTCCCCGCAGGTTCAATGCAATTGAGAGCGGTATCATACCTCCAAGAACCCATCTCCAATCGATATCCCCCCAGGACGATCAGCCAACCCTTCAGCCCTCTCATACGCCGCTCTAGCCAACGCCTCCCTCACAAAGACATCCACATACTTAGCCACAACCTCATTCGCGTCCTTCGCAATCTTAGTCTTCTCGCTCTTGAAATGATGGTGTAATAACCTGGTGAGCAATTTCGGCGGGATAGCAGGCTCGCTCGACATCACATCATCCGCCTCATCATTATTCGTGATCTCCGCAAGAATGTAATCTGGTTCTTCAGAGGGCGATCTCTCGCGATCTTGACTGCCAGTGTCCGAGCCCTCAGATCCAGACTGCGGTTCGGAGCCTGAGTCTGAAGCCGCGGCGCTAGGTCGGGCGGGGGCTTTCTGGCGAGAAGAAGAGGCTTTTGTAACAGCGGCGGGCTTGCGTGTACTTTTCGACGAGGATGCTGTCGCATTGACTGTCTTCTTGGCGACTTTGGAGGGAGGCTTGACTTTGGTTGATGCTGATACTGAGGTTGAGGGCCCAGCGGTGGTGATGGTGTCTCGCGGTCGTGGGGGGTTGAAGGGGAGGCGCCGGCGCTTTTGGGTGCCTTGTCGTTCAGGAGGCATTTTGCAAAATACTTGACCGCCGGATAAAGTGCTTTTCACTGGTAGTATGCGTATGTTGCGTGTTCTAATACCTGGCTTCAGACATAGAGTGGCCGAAGACACGAGTCGCGGCCAAAACGCGAAGTCACGTGGTTCATATTATCTGTAGCCTTTCACTCTTCGCACCGTCTTGGACGCCGTCATTGGTGTTTATTTGTGGCTGTATATGTTTGAGGAACTTAAAAGCCATTACTTGCAGCCTATCTATACAAGAGTTAGGTGATCGTAAGACTTTGTTGTGGGAATTTGTACGTGGTCTCATTCTCCATTAATGCTCCGCAGCATAAATATAGAACTAGGTACAGAGTACAACTCTTGCTTTATGATGCGATGCTCTCAGTGCGCCCTCTTGTTCAAAATACATAATGCGTCCAACTCACTCTACGCAAAACCTTTCTCAACGACAAGGCCATCATTCCCCATGAGGCCGAACCACAGTAACCTCCAGCCCAGCTTCTTCCAACACCCTCCGCGAGCGTTCCCAAGGAACCCTGAATAAACCAGCATTGAACCGGCAAGACCACAATTCTCCAACCGACCCTTCCTGAGAAGAGTGACCCGCCTGTAATTCTGCAAGTTGTCTCTTCAAATCCGCCACAGCAAGCTCGGTATTCCTGATGATCACATCTGGTGGACTGACGCCCCGCCCAAAGCTGCGGGACGTGAATAAGCAAATGATCCAGTGTTTTGTGCCGTTGGCCTCAGAGTCTCTCTTCTGAGGAGGGATAATCAACGCAGTGCCCTCTGGTAGTCGTACGCCTCGCGAGCTTTTTGCATGGGACTCTTCGCTCTGCGCCGCAGGCTCAGGCCTGTACCTTGGGCTGGACAGGAGATTCTGGCAATGAGAACGGTAGATCTCAAAAGCAGCTGGATACTATTTTGCCAGGTAAGCTACTGGAAGACCTCAAGAAGAGATTCAACTCAGGGTGCTGGGTTACCTTGTCTTTGAAAGCCTTTGCGATTCCCTTGCCCCAAGACCCTTGGCAATTGCAGGCGTCTGTCTATCAAATCAGTCACTGTGACGCACTGGGATCATGGATCAAGGGCTTTGCTCACGGATTAGAGCTGCACCATCTGGGGCATGAAAAAGGTCTCCCTCAATCTCTGTTATTTTGCTTTGTACTGAAGGTAGATCCATTGTGGTTGAGACTCGAAAATACGGTGCCTTTTGGAAGCGAATGGTGGAAGAGACCTTAACTCGAGGTCAGTGGCGTAGGGTGTAGTGGTCAAATGAATATAAGCAGATATCGTCGACTATTCCTTGTAAAAATTAAATTCCCCCCATACCGCTTTGCTTAAAAATAAGTGAGAGAAGCCAAGTGGTGTGATGAGTCACTAATGAAAGGTGCTGGAATACGAGCCTGTGCCATTACACGTCTAGCAAGGAACAGCCTACAACGCCTGAAGGATTGTAATAAGAGCCCTAATGAACTAGCTACATGTGGCTTCCGACTTCCTCGTACCGCTTCACACTGCGTTCATTCAGCATCGCTAGGAATACCCAATTTCCCAAGAAAAGTAAACAATATAGCCATCACCATTACCGATCAAAGCCGCAGTAAAGAATGGACAGGTGGAATAGGCAGATTTTGATTAACATCGCCTACAGATCCGAGGCCTGAACGGCTGGGCAAACGAAGTCTCGCATGCTCTTAGACTTTCTGACTGTGTTAGATTCCCCTTCACTGGAAGCATTTCTTCTTCCGGCATCGTGCCACTCTCGCCGACGCGGATCGAATCCAGGAGTCCAAGAGGAAGTGGTTGCCACAGACAAGGGTGCACTAGTGGTGCTGTTTGATTTCATCCTTCGCCTCATCGACCGTGAGATACTTCTGAGTATCCCTGAATCCTCGTCTTCGGCGTGGCCTTCTAGCCGGGCAATTTCACCCATCATAGTCACCCCATTTGTTGCAAAGTTCTCTTCAGATATTGGGATGTACAAGACAATACCCCTGCTCGGCGCAATATGAAGCAGGTCCTGAAGTGCTGCTTGAATAAGTATCGTGTTTCGCAGGTTAGTAATTGGCGCAATGAGATATGGCAAGGCGAAGACTTTCATCAAATACGCGGGAAGTGCGGAGTTGCCAAAATAGAGACATGCATCTTGCTGAATAGTGACCATCATGAAGGCATCGGGCTTCTGATAGATTTGAGCCAAGCGGCTAGTCAGGTCAGAGGCAAGCTTGGAATCGTCGTAACTGATCTAAAACAAGGGGGTTAGCGCAGATAACGACCGTGAACCTATGATTACACACCCTCGAGTTCATCTTGATTTCGATCACAACGACGGAATCATTGCTGATGCGAGTTCTTGGGGAAATAAGCGGGCCACGAGTGGCGAACAGGTCTTCGAAATAGCGACTTTTCGTCTGAGGTGACTGCTCGTCATCAGCGCTCCTATGCGCGACGTGGACTGATTGAGCATCCGGAGAAACGCCATGCTTCAAATCAGGGGCAACAGTGTCATCTTCCTCTTTATCCTCGAAGAACATGGACGGCTTGATTGCAGCTCTTTCCAGTTTATTCTTTTGTTTCAAAGTCTCTTCCGGGACCGTTTTGCTCGTCAACGCTTGGAACATTGCGGGGGATTGGAGCACCGGTACAGTTGGAGAAAGACTAGTGGACGAAGTGGTCGAGTAGTTGTGACGCCTCCTCAGGAATGAGAGATCCATCCTGGCACATAATCGTCAGATCCATTCTTAGAATACCTGTTCGACTTGAAACTGACCTCATTGAGTTCCTTGTACGGACTCTCCACCCGCCTGAGCTCGAACTCGAGTCCATGGCTGATGATCGCTGGTAAGCTGAGGAAGAGAGAGAAGCAAAGAAAGACTAACACACACCGGAACATCCCCTTCCTTCCAGCGTGGGGTCGTTCGGCTTGACTTGGAGCATGGCTTCTGCGCACCTTCCTGCAATTGAAAGCGGCATAAGGAAAGCTCATTTACACTCCCACACGGCAGGCAGCCAACACCCAAGGACGACAAATTAAGGGAAAGAATTAAAGACTAAAAGATCCACCAGATATAGTACAATTCATAAGATGGTAAGGTCTCGCCATGCAGATCATTGATACACTGGAAGAAACTGGAAATCATGCCTGCTTGGGCGTTTTCCAACCCTAAGCCAGAAACCCCAGAAAATCGAAAGCAGAATTTCCACTCAGAAAGATCTTATCTGTCCTCCTTCTCTTGTCCCAGACAATTTCCCCGTCCGACTTGCGTTTAATATAGAGTATGCGATGCTGCGGAATGAACTCTTCGTCGGTCAGATCCTTCTTCCATGAGCTCAGATTCGCCTCCAAACGTCCATTGAATCGGTCCTCGTATCCAATGGTGTAGTCGTTACTGTCAAATTTGGTGTCCCAAATGAGCCGGTTAATGACGTCTACTCAGTCTAGTCAATGAAAGCTGGTGCAAAGTGGTTTGAAAGCACATTACCTGCCGCTGGCCGTAGTCTGTTCTCCGCCGAAGTCGAACTTTTTGACGTCAACGAGGCATACTCATGCGATTCACCAGGATCTGTGTGAGGTATTGCAATTGGCGAAGAGATTGAGATATCTTCACTCTGTGCACTGGTTGCCGAATTGTTGCCAGTCTTGTGTTCCTGAGAAACTGCGGATAGATCAGACGCCATGGTCAACAACGAATATTTGTAAAAGATTCCAATCCCAATTTGAATGTTAATGTATCTTTTGACGCGGTTCATGTTCGAAGGGCATGCCCATCATACTTATACCCTGAATAGGGTGTCATGTCTTTACATAAGATTCAGCTTGAGGAGTCGACTCCCAATCTACAGTTTGTGTAAACGTAATAAAGAGGGACTTCGGTTACTTCAGCTGGTCCCCTAGTAATACTGCAATAGCCCATGATTCTAGCATGTCTCGTCGCCTGAGATGGGGCTAGCTGGTCTGGGGTGCAACTGACGCGAAAAGTGATAGATGCTTTCGACCAATCCCAGCTTGGCTACTGTTTGGATGAGTCAAAAGTGTGGCGCGGCATTCCTCAATCATGGGTGTGACTGCACAGTAAGGAGGTGACTCATTATGAGTGATACGCTAAGATCCTGCTGGCAATGACTAACTATCCCGAAGCTTTGATGGATTATCCCAGAGCGACGCCCCGGGTGACAGACAGAACGTACAGAAATGACGAGGTTAGAGAGGGCAAAAAGCAAAAAGATAGCTGAGCTCCGATAGGGGGAATCGAACCCCCGGCTGCCGTGTGAGAGACGGCGATGTTAGCCACTACACCATATCGGACTTCATTGGTCGAAGTGGACTATTTTCGCCCTCAGGAGCCAGTTTAGAAACCACAGAGATGAGGTCAACTACAGCGTCAACTACAGTCACCAACTGTTGTCTCTTGACGTAGCTCCCACGCTCCCCTGCAATCCCTATCGCAGACCCTGTCAAGCTTACGATGGGCCCTTTCATCGCAAATTGGTGCCCACCCGCTCCGCTCCAAATAAATGTCGTCTTCCCCTACCTGGTTCCGGAAAGGCATCGACCCTGGCACCATCATCACCCTTGATCAGCCCCTTCCTTCGCAATGGCAAATCATGAAGAAGCTGAATGAGTATAATTTTCAGCTTGACGACGCCGACCTTCGCCTTGGTCTCTGGCTGTCCCTCGCCTCCACCAAACTTCTGTGTTGCGATCCTATCGATAACACAAAGCAAGCCTTTATGCGTCTCTACCTTCAGGTCCCTTTTCGTGGTACTGATATAGCCGTTGCCAATACGAGAGCTAGTCAAGCCATAACACTCATCCCCCAGGAGTTAATGGCCTATCAAGAACTTACTAAGAAAGAATCAAGCAATACTCCGAAGCTCTTAGGATACCAAATCTCCACCCAGGATAAGTCCGGGCCAGTCCCGGGTGGCTTCGCGGTCTGGGTGGTGTGGGAGCTGGTGCCAGGGCTGCGTCTTGGCAGCAAGATTGGGCCTGATGCATTTTGGGCTCTTGATGGCCCTAAAAGAGAAGAAATCCGCTTGTCCTTCGTGAAGGCCTTAAAGTAAGTCGCTACGCTATCTCTACATTTCATAACTAACATCGACGCCAGGGAGCTGAAAGGAATTGGGTATCTCCCAGATACGTCGGCGCTCAGTAGCCTAGTCTGGCATCAGGAGTCAAGGACCCTGTATGTCTAAGCACACTCTTCACCCCAAACGCGCGAGCTAGTACTAACGATCTGAAGTTACTTCATCGGATTCCGTGATCGTAATATTGGCCAATTTGACAGCTTGGTTGTTGATGCTAAATGGGTAGCGCGCTACGGGCTCGCCAAACCAAACTCGGATGCATGGCGTAAAGAGGGATGGAATGAGGATACGTCGGGCTGGGAATGGTAGTTCGGGCAGATCTAAGAAAATGAATCGTCAGGAGAACTGTTTATTCTGACACCCCCCTGGCCATTTCAGGATTAAGAGTCGGAGGAGGATCGGGACAAAATTCACTTGAGTTAGGTGTAGTAGATTGCTCTGTTTTCACATTAAGTGTCGCTCTTCCCACCTTTTCAGAATGAACGGTACTAGGAGGAACCATCTCCACGCGAATCGAAGGTCTTGCTTGCCTTCCAAGTGCTGTTCCAAGTGTCTCTGGAATGGCAGATCTGCCAGGTGTTCCTACCATCTCGGCGAGAATGGGCATGGGATAGTTCCGCCGCAGGTTCTTCGTGAAGGCTCTCTAGTAAGCCGCTACGCTACCTCTATCTTTCATAACTAACACTGACGCTCTACTAAAATGAGAGATATTGGTATCTCCCCAATACGGACGCACTCAGTAGCCTAGGTTGGCATAAGGAGTCAAGAACCCTGTACAGACGTCTAAGCACTACGTCACTGTTGGGCCATTGTCGAGCAAAGAACTGGTCAACAGGGTCATTAAATATACATAGCAATCACGCGATATTGATGGCGAAGCAGCGTACGTCGGGAGTAAGCATGGAGTCCAGGGCCGGTTTCAAAAATCGTTGGACCAAGTACTTGGAAATGTCCTAGACAATGTGCCTCTGTAGAGTTGGCCATCTTGTTAAGATGGACAAAAACGGTTCCCGTGGACTCTCATCTCCTGGTTGACCCAATATCACAAATCATGCACAACGATAACCTTGATCAAGGCCTCATTGTTACTGAATTGGTTAGTATTCTTCTATCTCAGGTCTACGACGGAAAGCTAATATTAAGAGTTTAGCCAATATCTCCTCGCCCAGTTCCTCTGCCCACAAACAAATGAACGTATTAAGGTTACTAGGGACCAGCGCCGGCCATATATCAACCGGTCCGCCACGATAACCCAGTTGCCGCGCCCCATAGGTCTCCCAGTGTACCTGGAATAGCGCACCCGGATATTTCTTGGTGTATCACTGGGAGTATGTTTGAAACAAGCCAACGGCAAAGCATGCCTTTATGCGGATCTACCACCAAGTCAGAGTCAATCAAGAGCGAGCTCTGGGAGGGTTCGGATTACAGACACGGCAGCCTAGATCCACCAGACCAGACAGAATTCCTTGAACGGTTTAAGCACGGTATCCGTACGAACGAAACTGGGGCGAGACGCCTTTGGGACGCGGAACAGTAAAAATCCAAGTACAAACAGAGCTTCTCTTTTAAAGAGGACCGGATCGACCGACTGCTAACACCTACTGGCCTCTTGCTTTCACCCAACGGGGCGGCATCCAGCCCGGCCGAAAGCCAACAAAGCCCAATGGTCTTCATTCAATGGGGTTCAAAACACTACTTTTTAGTTTCGCAGAGTATTATATTTTGCGGGGACATCCCAAGCGCCGGCATCAAGGAATGGCTATGCGGCACATGGTCCAATGGCGAGTGGCGACACGCGAACATGGCCAGACTATCATATGGATTGTTGAGGTGCCATTGATAGCAAGATCAGAACCAGCTCTAAGCGTTGACTTGACTGAAATCCCTTCCGCGTCATCTAACATACAATACGACGAGAGCTCCTCGGTGATAATCCAGGTCTGGGGTGAAAGTGAAAGCGACTCAGAGAACGCCTGAAAGGTGACCTCGGTGCCTTCAGGGCCAGTTAAAGAACTCCAAATATCTGGAGATGGTCATGATGGTGAGCAGCAAAGGCTAAAGATGTCGGCTACATGAGAGAAATTCCCTATGTACTGAGGAAATAGAGGTCTAACATGCAAGAGAAGGCTGGTGCGTAGGTATAGAAAGAAAGTGATGAGTTGACAATAGGTGGGGAGTGGTTACCAAGGATAGCATCAATCTTACTACCACAAATTCTGGCGGTATAAAATCTAGTCAGTCAGATGATAGATTAGAATTGATGGTACTGCAACGTGCACGACAAAACTTGCTATTCCTTTATGGTATTCGATGATATTCGTTATGGTTGGTTGTTAGGTACAGATAGGAAGGGAAAACAAGGAGGAGAGTCATAAAGTAGAGCAGCTACGCTGAGTCAGCCCTGTTTGCATTGCTTGTCCCTCATTCCGTGACAGTACCTTCCAAACTTTATCATTGTTAGTAGGTAAATTACTAGTGATTCAGTAATCTAATATGGTTTCCGCGCTTTCCAACAGAACACCTCCCACTGTTGATAGTGTACTGTACTGTCATCCTGCTACGCCCTACTGATGCATTCCATAGGGTTAGAGTGTATGATTGTATCTATATAACCAGGCCTGTGTCTGCCCGCCTTCAAGAGGCAGCGATGCCGAGGTGGAAACAAAACACTACGGTTCCTTGAAGAAACACCAGGCACTATCGTGGTCCTTGCATCGTCACCGCGAGTTTGTACAATAACAGATTTCCTGTCGGAAGACGTCGCCCTATTTAAATCATAGCTCTGCAACACAGACTCAGCAAACGTTGTGCCGTCCGTCTCCTCCGCATTCCCGCTTTTCGCGTCACTCGATCGGGTCCCCCGTCTCCCAGTACTGTCGAATGATTTCGCCTATGTCAGAATGAACGACGTGACAAACTCATTGCTCACAGAGCATTTCAGCTATACACCCTTGGTTCGTTTTCGTCCATCGAGTTCGTCTTGCGATTTGCAGTTGCGAACGCGGAATCTTGCCGTATCATGTGGCTAATTCCTCACAGTCTCTCATAGATGATATTATAAACTCAATCAACAATCTCATATACCAGGCCATCTCAAGCCTCGAGTCAGGCTTACTCGCCACTCCCCCCGAACGCTTGGGCTTTGCCCATGTGAATAATACCTCTACGATACCCGATACGGATGAAGATGGCAACGTTGTCTACCCGGAAGCTAAACTGGAACTCGAAAATGGACTACACCAGCTAGAAACGCTTCTCGAGGCGACCGTGGACAAGGCATTCGATAAATTCGAGATCTACGTGCTGCGCAACATCTTCACCGTGCCAGACGACTTGTTGAACTACATCAGACTGAGCCATCACGAGGTATGAAATCCGGTGTTCGCGACTGCGAGCCTTGGCCTCCACGGCGCCGCTTGAACGTGTATTGACTTTAATTTATGCAGAACCTTGTCCTCGATCCTTCCCCGAATGCGCCTACTCCTGAAACGATCCATGCACTCCGCAAAAAGTTGAATGAGACCAAGAAATTGAACCGATCTTTAAAACGCGAGAGCGCGCAAAACGAGGCTGTAATCTCGCAGTTACGATCGATATTGTCGGCAGCACAAGCACCCGATGTCGCAAAAGACACAATTGGAGAGGGCAAGGCCGGAACACTTCTACCAAAACAAGATAAGGACCTTGACCTTTCATTCTTGACGTCCGGTCCGGCTGCGCAGCAACTACGCGTCGGTGTTGATACTGGCCTGAGTATCCAGTATACACCGCTCACAACGAATACGACTTTTATTCTGTCCCAACTTCCTGCACTACAAGCGATGCTGAAGCAGCTCCGGCCCAAACTTGTTTCTCTACCGAAGTCCAGCGATACCATGGAGAGCGACGCCAAGTTCGATGAAAGGAGGGAATACATCGAAAGTAGAATCAAGCTACATCTTGAGCGGACCGGACAGCTACCGGTTGGAGCCAACGGCAGCCCGCCGATTGTCGGACGGAAAATTGACATGGCAGAAGCACAAGCGCTCGAGTCTGTTACTGGTATGCTTACAAAAGATGAAAAGGAGGACTGATGAAGCTGTTGTGGAGGAGAGTCGATGGAGACATCAAATCAACCCTGTCTACCGGCATCTCCTCCATAGATATCGGCTCTACGCACTGCAATTCGTCAGCTCTACGCGAATTCTCCACGACAGGCATGTTCCTGTCCCCATCCACACAGTCTTGGTCATCCAGCAGAAGCGTTCTGCATCGCCGAAAGCGATGCTATAATCAAGTATCTCAGCAAAAGAGGCTGTCTTGACTTTCGATTGATGGCTGAAACCGAGGGTTCTCGGTTTAGAGCCTATGCTCCGCAGTGGATTAGCTTAAGGATGCGAACCTGACGCAAAGAGAACACCCAGAAACTGATGTGCACGAAGTTTGGGCTGTTTCCCTCGAAAGTAGACGTGTCGCACCGGCTAACGGTTGCAACGAATAAAGCAAAAGCTTCTGGCGGAGAGCTTATTATGACAAAGCATTATCTGGATGTCGAACTTCGCTTACAGAAACTTGTAACAGGAATGTCGTTAATACTATTTCTGAGAGTCTAACAATATAGTATTGTAATGTTTATCTAGTCTGACCAAATAGTATCTTGATGCCTGGGTGCCTTGAGACCGGAGCAGACCGATATCCGCTAACCCAAAGCAGCGGTCATGTGAGCACAGGACGACTTCTTGTAGCCCGCGGCTTGGCATCATCAACTCCCTCTGCAGCCACCACCGCGTTGGCCGATTCTCGTCAGTCCTACTCCGCTTTGTCGCAAGGTGTTTATTCGATGGACGTCGGTATACTTGTGCTGTAGTGGCATAAGGCTCCGTGCAAGATCTTTGCATCGTCTCTCCCTTGCCCGTCGTTGTCCGGTGCCGCCCTCCGCTCCCCACATGTCTCGCGCATCGGCTATACCAACGTCTATTCTCGGAGCCCGGCTTCCTTCTGTCATCCTCGAATCGGTGTCCCGATAAGTCGCGTACACTCAACACTGACTGTACTCGCGTCGCGGGGTTTGATTGTCGACAACATGGCGACGGCAATTTCGAAACCTACCTCACATCCCCCCAAGATGAAGCGGCCGCCCCCGCCTTTCGTCCCAGGTGGTGTTAACGGGGTCAAGCCTCAGCAGTCATCCTCCTCTTCCTCCCCACCCTCCACATCGAAACGTCTGCCTGGTTCTAATCAGCCGACTTCCTCACCCGCCACTAATGGTCCGGTCACGAATGGCATCAATGGCTCGGCCAATTCGACTTCCACCTCGACCAATAATTCAA